CTCGCATTTTTTCTGGCTCTTTTCTTGTCTTTGGAGGTCCTTCCTCCACGTCCCCCTGGCCTGCTCTTCAGAGCTGGTTCAAGTACTGGCACAGGGTTATGACATGAATTCTGAAAAATCTGACGGAAACGGCGATTCACAGGTGTCCATGGAAGGTACACGCTAGCTAAAACAGCCAGTCCATCGTTTACATAGGTGCGGGCGGTGCGGGCATTCTGCCACCTTCCGTAAAGAAGTAGGCGGTCAAGGGACCCCCATTTTTTAAACCAGTATGTGGCCCCACCCCTTCGGAGTGAATATGGCCTGAAGTCAAAGGCATCAAACCCTAGCGCTAGCAGAGTATCATTAAACTGCTTTCTCCACTGAGGGGGTTTAGTACATAAAGGAGTTTTGGAGGGAACATCCAAAGTCCATTGATGCAGCCATCGAATGACTTGCTCGGACGTCAAGCTGACGCTTTCTGCAGCTCCCTGACGTTTGCCTCCCTTTGTGTACCCCAACGCAATGACAGCAGGGCCTCTCCCGGATGAAACGGACACGTCACTGGACGTCAACCCCAGCAACTCTCCCGTTCGCAAGACTCCGTAGAATCCTACGAGGAGCGAAATGGCAAACTGGTATTCATGATGAAAGATGGCATACCCTATCATGGCTTGCAAAGCTTCCTCGGGAAGCGGCGGCGCTCGGCTTGGGATCTCATTAACATTCCAAGCCTTTAAAAGCCTCCAGGCAGCTGGGAGTTGTTTTCTGACATTAGGCTGAGCATCCTGTATTCCGGCTACAGTGTCAGCAGCCAGAGCCCGGCCAAAGCCTTCGCTCCACAGATGCTCCACATAAATGCACAGAACTCGGTCCAACTCAAAAGGTCCACGGGGAAAGCTAATGTTCTCGTGGCGGAGGAAAGCCCAAAATTGCTCAAGAGCTTTTTCATACCTAGCTCGTGTTTTTGGCTGTACAGTCAGGGAATGCAACGTGCCTAGCTCTGCTCTTCGCTGTTTTCTCTCTGCTTGTGAGCATCCTTCAACATGTGCTTTGGCTACTTTAGCCATTTCTTCTTGACTGGATGCCGACTCGGACGGTCGGCGGGGTTGAGCTCCGTATGGACATAAGTCCATACACCATGTGCGCCAGATGCCAACAAGAGAGAGTTAATGCGAAGAAGGGTTCTGCGAAGTTTCCGACTGCTCGATCGTCCCCGTGCGAGAGCATGCAAACATACTTGACTGTCCACCAGGTGTAGGAAACGGGTTCGAATCCACCCTTTACGAGCAAACCGCCATTTCAGCGCCGTCAAAACAGCACGCATTTCAAGAACGTTGATGTGTTCCGAGCTTCCTGTCCATCTCCACCCGCAGACGGTTTTCCAACGCCACAAGTTGGCGGGGATGCTTGCTCTTAGCCGGTGGTATCGCTGCACGTCCTCAGATGGAGCCTGTAAAAGCAAGTCCTCCCCCTTACCACTAACAAGCCCCGTCAACTTTCGTGCTAACAGATCAGGTTGCGGCTCAATTGTACCACGTGGGGCTCGCATGAAAGGACGCAACAAGAAACTTTGCAGACGGGTGCCTGCCCCCGGTCGACACTGTCGCATCAACTCCGCCATGGACAAACGATTGCAAAGCCCTCGTGGGACCCCCAAGCAGTGCAAAAGCCAAATAATGACAAACACGCACCATGAGTTTCCAATGAGTGACAACCGCTCATCCTGCCATGCCGTTCCATGCCGCTGTCCCTTGGGAAGACAATGTGCTGTGTAACCTCGAGGAAATCCCATGAGGACCTCTCGTTCCTCAACCGAGGGCAGTCGCACTTCCCCACGTTTGTTCTCCACACAAAAAAACCCGCCTATACTGGTAAGGAGGGAAACGATGTGAGTCCTCCCGCCACCTATTGAGCTCCTCCGCGTTGCACTGTTGGATACCGGCTGGTCGACGTCCCGGGCTAATTCGAGGTCTACTGGTAGTGAATGTAGGGAAAGGCATGGGGCTACACTTTCTCCATCCGCGCTCCAAGAAGACACTCACGTCATGCGACTCTTCCAAAACAACCTCTGTCACCTGAGACCATCCTTCACCTGTGACCGAGGAGATGGAAGACCCATTGCCATCTTCCAACTCCCAACTTGGCCAGTAGAGGCGTGGTCGCCGGCAGCCTGTAACTCCTGACGCATCGATGTGCACTGGTGTGGTGCCTGCTGACTGGCTCATGATCACCCTATCTCCCTCATCCATGGAGCCCACTGATTCCATGAGTCGATGCACCTGGGCCCACGGAAAATGCGTCTTCAACAACCGTGCGATACGTTCAACGTGAGGAAACAATGACGATCGGTGATCACGCAGCGCTCCTCGGCGGTCAGCATTCAGTCCGGACACTCCTTGGCATGGGGGTCCAGCTCCCAGCAACACAACACTCACTTGGCTAAATTGGCATGCCCATGACTTGACCACTTCCTCATCGACCTCTTCAACTGAGTTGACGAAAAGGGTGTGTGGAAACCTACTCTCTACTACTCGACGAGCTGGCGGGTGGCATTCCACGGACACATGCCCAATCACCGTGAGTCCAACTGCATCTGCGGCCACACGCAAACCCCCAATCCCATCAAAAAGTCCAACAGTGAGCACTGTGGCGACTTCTTCCAACTCAGCGACATCACCTCGCACGTGCAAATTGGCCGCAATGGCCCCTACTTGGCTCACCCCACAGGAGGCTGTCACACCCCCACCAGTGGTTGACGCATCAGACGCGGTCACTGCAGAGGACAATGCGAGCCGGAAATTCATGCGGGCCAAGGGGATCAACAAGCAAAACCGACTGAGCTCAAGGCGCACTCCATCCGGGACTCTCTGGCGGTAACTTCCAGTTTCGAAGCTCTGGATAAACTGCCAGACTTGGTTCAACGCCCCCAGTAGCGGCCGCCTAAACGTGCAGAAGTACACGAAACCTCCAGCGACCACTTGCATCTGGCGTTGGTTGCACACACCTGCCTTCAGCAACAACTGGCATAGCCGAATGTACTTGCCGAGCTTGTCCGACTTGGGTGCTGCCATCCCGGTCACACCGTCAACCTCTGCGCCTTGTACTTCAGCATGCATTGCTCTGGCAACTGCCTTTTTGGGGTGCCTAGGCACCTGCCGTCTGGCGTACGCCTCCCTCAAAGCTTCAACAAAGGTAGAGCAAGTGCCTTGGATGGTGGTAGCTAGTCGACTGTCAGTCTTTTCCAGGAGGTCAAAATTATCGAGGTATACGCGGAAAGAGGGGTTGCTCCAGCTAAACGGACGGTCTTTGCGGTGCTCGGCCTCCCATCCAGCCCTACCACCTCTTGACACGCACTCCTGCACGGCCTCCCCGACTATAAATCGGTGGATGTGCTGTGCAAGGGAAACGGAGTTGCAGAACCCCATGGGTAGCACCTTGCTACATAGGTAGTAGGGTCCATCACCGTCAGGCCAAAGGTCCACCGGAACTGTCCGTCCAAAAGCGAGAAAGGAATGCCACTCTTTCGGAACCGTGAATATATAAAAGAAACAGCGCACATCCTCTGAGCTCATCAACAGCGTCTCACCTTCTTTCAACTCAAAGGGGTGCATTGAAGGCCAGGCTGGTAGTGTACTTACGTCACCATTCATGGACCGACAAATGCGATTGAGAGGGACCAGATTCATAATCAGCCTATGAACCGGCACTCCGTCAACCTCTTCGTCCTTGGGAACTCCAAACAGTCCATTAAACAACCTCTGGCCTTGCACCAAGTGAACCTCTGTCTCTTTGATGAGTCCGCAGACCCCAGAAGTGAGAAGACCCTTGCACAGGTCCTCCCAAGCACCATTCGCCACCATGACCTTTGGTGGCTTCGTGTATACCTGGTCACGTTCAGGCAGGAGGTAGGTGCTAAAATTCAAGGTATAGTGTAGTGAGCCTCTCGCCACAACGGTTTCCAAAGGCACTGTCCCCACTTCATTCGGCAAAGCATGTCGAACATTCTCCCAGGAAGTAGTTTGCGCAACCTTCACCTCGTCACCTTTGTAATCTATCGTCCTCACCGACAGGTATTCCTCCCAGCTCAGGGCAGGGAGGGCAGGACACCTGGCCACGAAA